GAGATTCAAANTTGAGTCCATTTGGTTCTGCAGCCTCTAGCAACCTCAGATAATGATGGTGATTGTGGAGGAGTTGGGGGAATGAAGATTGACAAGGGAAACCGAAGTACTCGGAGAAAATCTGCCCCAGTGCCACTTTGTCCACAACAAATCCCATACGACCATACCCGGGCTCGAACCTGGGCCGCTGAGATGAGAAGCTAGCGACTAACCGCCTGAGATATGGCGTGACCCTCTACGGACAGATATACTCTACCTTGCTTATGTATTCTACAGGAAGGGTGACAATATTGTGCCCAAGAGAACACTGATGCTCTCCAACGGAAGTCTGAGTCCTCATGAAGGTTTTAAAGTATTTGTAATAGTGTTTACACGTTCGCATATGATCGCAAATCACGTGGTAACTTTCGTGCTATGAACATCATCTCTGTCTAGTCCCAAGGATTTCTGTGTTCAGGTATCTCCTTAACTGTAAAAACTAAAGCTATCCCTGTACCAGGGTGTGAAGGCCCATAGGGTTGTGAGACGTTGAGGGTCCCACATTATGTAGACAATCGGCTCAAAGATGGCGGTAAGGTTGTCAGCCTTACGCGCCGGCCGCGCTTTACTCCCCAGGAAAATTATTTAATTAATTCATGGTACTCATTTCTGTTAGAGGCTGAGTGAGCCCCAGGGCCATAATGCGGCTGGAAGGATTAGGTCAATTGAAAAAAAAAATCCAACGACCTTATCGGGACTTGAACCTGCGACCTTCCGGCTTGAGAGGGCGAAATTAATTATTAAATTACATTTTCTAATAAAATGACATTTATTCTTTAGTTGATCCATATTTCTATATTAATCTGTGCCGAAACAACATTTTGAAAAATTCTTGATGCGAAACGTATGAAGCAAATATATTGTAACGGATTTGCTCAAAGCATTTCTAGGCAACCGCTCAGTAAACACGTTCCAACGCGTAACAATGGAAAATGTGTCTCAGTGGACGAATGTTATAGCTGTTAGCTAGGCAGTAGTCAGCGAGCCAGTGAACGAGCTGGGTAGCAATCACGTGACTTGTGTTTTCTGTGTGGTCCGTGCGGAGCCCATATAAGGACGATCTGTTGTAGCTTAGATCAGTTCAGTTTAGTTGAGAATAAAAGGATGAGAATGGAGCATGTCCTAGTGAATTGTGAAGATGAATTGAGTACAGATTAAGACAGATTGCAGAGTAGTTGAAGACGAAATAACAAGGATTTTGAAGTGTCAGTTTCTGTGTTGAGATTCATTGCCAGGAGAATTGAAATTGAAACGGGCTTTATGCTACAGCTTGATATCATCCTAAATTGTTGTGTAGATTCTAGGTGTCGAACGCTAAAGATAAGACACAAGGATCGAAACGGAAGGACAGACATATCAGAAGGTTCAGCTAGTGTAAGTAACGAGCTGAAAACATTCACGACACTTCAAGACGGCCTTCGGGTTCTCAGTGTAGGAGTTCAGGAATTGAACGTTCTAGTTTAGCGCTTCTGGCAAGGTAATTAGGTTTACCTTCTCTTTGGGAGATAATGTTTCTTGCCCTCTCTTTTTACAGTCAATACGCTTGCGCATTTCAGAATCTCAAGACAGAACGTCTGAAAATGTATGTTGTTTAATGCCGTCTGGCGAGCCGTAGTAGCTCATTCAGTGGTTGGCTTCGGACTGAACGACCTGAGTTTTTCTTCTGCAAAGGCGGGACTTTTCCTTGTTCCTCGAGTCCAGACCTGGTCTGTGGCCCATTCAAATTCCTATCGAATGGATACCGGAAGTTATTTTCCATAGACTAAAGCGAATGTAATGTGAAACTGACCATTCACGGCCATCTAGTGCCAAGATGCCCCATCAAGTCTTAAATCAGCGGATAATAGGCATATGGACAACTTCATTTTAATCTGTGCCTATCATGACAATCGAATTCATATGGAGCTCTTTGCGAATACAGGTCCAAGGGTCGCTATAAGCATAATAGCTTAGGTTTATCATGGTTTTTTCAAGTATTTCCAGGCGAATTATGGGATTACTTCTGTATACTTCATTTACTTAGGCCTGTTTGTGTATTTAACAATGCTAACAATAAGTTAGACCAGTAAAAATTAAAAAAAAAAAGTAAAGCTATCCCTGTATCAGGCCGTGAAGGCCCATAGGGTTGTGAGACGTTGAGGGTCCCACATTATCTAGACAATCGGCTCAAAGATGGAGGTAAGATTGTCAGCCTTACGCGCCGGCCGCGCTTTACTCCCCCGGAAAATTATTTAATTAATTTCTGGTGCTCATTTCTGTTAGAGGCTGAGTGAACCCCAGGGCCGTAGTGCGGCTGGAAGGATTCCAGATATCCTTTATCTTCTGCAACTCGCGTCCCACAGACAGACAAACTTGCGCTGTATAAAAAAGTTATTGTTGCGAAATCCAAATATGTGAAAAACCGGATGACAAGTCTGGTAGATTCTCTAAGAAATGCTATGTTGAGCCAATGATGATGATAATTATCGTAAAAACATACCTTCTGTTTTTGAAATATGTGTGTTTTTACAATTGTATACACCTGTACTTTAATACGAGTATAAGATCAGTTATTAATAAAGACCCCCCCCACATTCTACTTAGCGGTGGGTGCATCCCACCAGTGGGGAAACTGATTAGATTATATACCGTGGAATGATAAGATGATAAATGAGTAATGAATTGGAAGGAATGTGTCGTGGACTAAATTGAGGGATTACCCTGGCATCTTCAGAGAGGAAATTAAGGAAATAGATAACATTTCTGTGAGATAGCCAGTCTTCGGACCACGGTATGAATGCGAGGCCTCCCGAAAAAAGAAACAAGGGGACTACCCACTGAATCGTGACTCTCTCTCTCATCTCTTGTGATAACTCGTCACTACCTTATCTGTTTTTTGCATTAGGAAGGTCAAGATTTCGAATCTTCCAAAGAACTTGTTCGTATTTTTGCTCAATGTTTGCAGGCTAATGCTGAGATAGCAAACATAGAGCACAACTAATTCTGTTTCGTATCCAGATGCTCAAAATCTGTGCTCCGTGGAGGCCAGATGTACATAAGCGCATTCCACCATGTTTGAATTTTGGTATATGCGTTTTATTGACCTGGAAATCTGTCGAGTTTTTCTTTTTCCCAAAGCAAAAGGGTTCTTCAGACAAGAGTGTTAAGGAAAGTGTATTTCATTGCATGTCCCTTATTATTCTGTCATACGAGTGCAAGGAATGTAGCCGATAAAGTATGAAAAGTTACAAGGAAAACAACTCATTGTAATTACAACTTAGAGGAATGTTAATTATTTCCAGCAATTATTACAGAACTGGTATTTATTCTGCAGCTAAAAAAAAAAGGGCTCGTCCGGGATTTGAACCCGGGACCTCTCGCACCCTAAGCGAGAATCATACCCCTAGACCAACGAGCCGACTTTGTAGTGATAATTATAGCCAAGGACAACTTGCAAATGTAGGTTAATTATTTTGTGCTGTCGGTATGTGCGTAGTTTTATTGCCTTGTTGCCAGAAGAGCTGGAGCGTGCAGGTGGTTGGCTTATTACGACAGAGCGGCAGTAGTCAGCTGTATTGCTGCAGGCATTGTCCAGGCCACAACGTGGCAACTACATGAATGCTCCCGTTGTGTACATGGTAAATACTGCTGAAATCAATAACCTGACATCCGTGCCGAACGTGATGATCTGTAATACCTGCTTCAAATCTTAGCCCGGAGGCCGGATACCAAGGTTCGATCCCGGGTCTGGTTAAGTGGGATTTGTGGTAGACAGAGTGGCGCTGGGGCAGGTTTTCTCCCAGTGCTTCGCTTTCCTTCTCCAATCTTCATTCCACCGACTAACCGCTTGAGCTATGGCGCGGCCCTTACGTGTACAGTAACTGTGCCCATATGCATTGGACACGAAAATGAAAATCTGCTTAATCATGGCATCACAATTTTAGACAAGAAGTTCTGGGAAGATCTAATCCCCTACTTTCCTTAGTACGACACAGAATGCATAGAAGACGACGCGTTTAACAATTCTATTGATGCATGTGTATTCATTGGAGCAGTAACGTTTTTACCGACCGTTGCCTAGCAACAATAGCGAGTATACATACAGACTGATGGAGAGGTTTATGAAATATGCAGTTGAGACGGGATCATGTGCATAATATACATACCAAGCTTCATAAAGGTTGGTTCAGGCATTCAGAAGTTAATAGAGGGGAAACACAGACACACAGCATCGAAATTGTGTAAGTCGGCTTTCATTTCTCTTAAAACAAGGAAGGTAGGCTAAAAATGATATAAATTGCCAGCAGTCAAAGGCAAAACGCTCAGGAAAATAATTCAACATACTTAGTGGGAAGATTGCGGTAAGGTTATTGTGTAACGAGGAACTCGTGATGTCCTAGTCAAGTTCTTATTATGGGGCGGATCTGATATGTTATTTCCTCTGTACCTCCATCATTATCCGGGCATCGGGGACAGAATGGAAATTCCGCCTTGAGGATGATGCATAAAGAGCTATGGACGACCGAATAATCGCGGTTCGATTCTCAGAAGAGGATTGTTTTTCTCTCTTTCACAGCATCTAGACCGGTTCTGGGGCCCAGCCAGCCTATTGCCCAATGCGTAACGGGCGCTTCTTCCTTGGAGGTAAAGCGGCCGGCGCGTGAAGCTGACCACTCAACTCCGTCCAGTGCCTATACGTCTTCATAGCGCTAAGCCTCACCTTACCGGGCTAGAAAGGGAGACACCAGGACGGTTAAACACCATATATGGAGGCTAACATCCGGGATAGTTCAGCAGGTCGACTGACCTGATGATTTCATACGCTGACAATGATGAATATTTCTCTCTTTGCCACTATGTCCTATCCAGCCTCGTAGGGTGAAAGAGATATCAACAGAAGAAGAATTCTTACTGAAAATATTATTTTTTATTAATATTGCTTATTTTGAAATCTCGAGCAAGGGGTTACTAGTGTGTTGTCATCTGGGAGCGTAGACTAAGTGAATCTGTGTGGTGTCACTTGTACAGGAGAGTGCTGCCCACCGTGGAGCCAGGATATATGAGACCCTTGCTGCCTGACGAGGCGCCGGAGAACCCCGACAAATGGCAGGATGTGATGGCCGACATAGAGAAGATTATCATGCCCGGAGTTACACACTGGCACTCCCCACGCTTTCACGCTTACTTCCCGACGGCCAACTCATACCCCGCGATCGTCGCCGATATGCTAAGCGGCGCTATTGCCTGCATAGGCTTCACTTGGGTAAGCCACGCACCTCACACTCGAGTAGAAGACTTTGCTGTCCTAACTTGTGATTTATTTCAGTCCACCTGAGTTTATTATCTAACATGAGACCACAACGGCGTCTTCCAGATCCTTTTTAAAATTTAAAAGACTATCCATGTAACAAGCCGTGAAGCTCCATAAGGTTGTGAGACGTCGAGGCTCCCACATTTTCTCTAGAAAATGGAGTCACAGATGACGGTAAAGTTATGAGCCTCACGTGCCGGCCGCCCTTTAGTCGCAAGTATATTCCTGGTACTCAGTTCTGTTGGAGGCTGAGTCAACCCCAGGGCCATAGTGCGGCTGGAAGGATTAGGTCAATTGAAAAAAAAATGCAATGACATCAACGGGAATCGAACCCGCGACCTTCCAGCTTCTATCACTGTGCCTCAACCAACTACAATGCCGCGCACCCCTCTCTTTAAAATATAATTCATAAAAATCGTCCCACCATTCCGTGCTACATAAGCAACGTGCATTGTGATACAACTTAGACAGACCACGTTTTAAATCAAAGGGTTTTTGGGTTGGAGAGCCTCGTGAAAATTCTGCAGTTAAAATAATTATTAAAGAAAATTGTCAGTTATTCGTACTAACTGAGCGTAATTTCTAGATATACGAAAATACACAAAACATAACTTCATAATATCACGAACTGTAATGATTGTCCTTAAAGAGTACTAAAGTACATTCAGCGTGCGTTGGCATAGATCCTTCCCAGTTTTCTCGTGTCTATTTGTAAATCTAAACAAGGGACGTAAATAAAAATGTCAAGGACCTGAACTCTTGTCAGAATTCCCAATATTGAACCTTCATTTTTTCCCTATTTTTTATTTATTATTACAACATTTTTCTGTACAATAAAATATAAAGTAAAAATTTATTAATATTTTTATTAGTATTAATTCTCGAACATTGACATAGAGTTCTTTGTATATTCCCGCGGTCCGAATTTTATCTACTACGAGATTTACACAAGACCGGCTCTGTGGTCTAGTGGTCAGAATTCCTGGCTACAGATCCAGGGTTCCCGAGCTCGATTCCCGGCGCTACCAGTTTTTATGAGAAATAGTGGGTCCGGAACGGGGTCAACTCAGCCTCGTGAGGATAATTGAGGAGCTACTTGAATGGAAAAGTAGCGGCTCCGGTCTAGAAAAACGAAATTAACGGCAATGGGGATTCGTTGCGCTGAATGCGCGACACACTCTGTCCGCTCGGCGGTCCGGCGGTCGCTCGGTCGGTATAGTTCGCTTGCGGACTAAAACCACGGAATTTTATTGTTGTTTATTAAGGTCTACACAAGATATAATGAGAAGCTGTTAAATGTTATAAAGCATAACTCTGTGCGGCTCTCATATCGAAACAATTACTGCTAACAGATGTTTGAGAATTACCGGTTACTTTTTATCTTTACGAAGTTAATTTCAATTTAATATACCAGAATTCTAGGCCTCTACCTCCATTATTAAAATATTTCCATGCTTCCTTACTCCGTTATTTATTCGTTTATCTTCTAAAATATTTATCTTTAAATTCAGTTGTTTTTTTTTAAATTCTTATTCTCTCTCTTCAGATTTTTCTCATGTGCTTCTTACGACTATCATCCGTGCTTATCACTGTCGCCACCTTGTTGTAGATCGCAAGTCCGGCGTGCACAGAGCTGGAGGTCGTGATGTTGGACTGGCTGGGCAAGATGCTAGAGTTGCCCAAAGAGTTCCTTGCCTCATCCGGTGGAAAAGGTGGCGGAGTCATCCAGGTAAACCCAGACTTAAAAATATATACATTTTAGTTTTTGATGTCAATCGATATGGAAATCCGTATAGATTTCGAAATATTTTATTTGTTTTGGTTTTTTAAACTGCTCTCAAGTATTAAATTAAATGTAGTCTTAAACGTTATCATCATCATCATCATCATCATCATCAGTAATCTGTCAGACGACAGGTCCACAGTCTCTTCCAAAACAGTTCCTTCACTTAATGCGATCTAGAGCTTTCTCCTTCAAATGAGAATATCCTCTTCTGTCCCCAAGGTCATCCAGCATCGTCTTACGTCTTCTTCCTCGTCTTCTGGTCACTTCTATCCGCCTCTCTATCTTCGCATACATGGTATCTGTGTTTTTGGAAAGAGACTATCCAGGAAGAGCGATAATGTGGTAGTTTTTCCATTTGCTTTCCACATCGCATTACAACAGCCGTTCAAACCACTCTTGTCACGCCTGTTGCTATACGAACTTGAACCATCTCGAGCATCATTTGCTCTGTGCTTCAAGTCGCTGCTGATGACGCTGCTTCCGGCATCAGTTTTTGGTGTCTCTCTTCGTCTGATGCCTACCCTTTGACCTGTCCAGCAAGGAAGGCCCTGCCAGTAGCTACGCTATCGCTGGTATAGCTCTCAGGGTCCTTGGCATACTCCAGCCCCCCTCACCACGATAAGGTGGAGACACCAACGAGGGAGGCCTTTATATATATAGTATAAATTGACATACTTACATGTTAACTACAACGGTAAATTATACCACTAATTATAATTCTGTAATCCCTTTGTAATATTACACACTTTTAAAGAACGGATATTTCTTTCGTTTGCTTCACGTGATTGTCACGGTTATTCATGACTTCTTCGTAATAACCGTGCCTGTCGAGATTTTATCCAGTGGTAAGTTTTCAGGTTTTCGGTGCTTTAGATTAATGACGGTGATCTTATATTACCAAGGAATGACACTCTATATTACACGCTGAATTTTACTAGAAATAGATTGGTATATTTAATGACACTGTCGTAGCGCATACTGGAGCGACTATCGTTATAGTTGCATTCCTATTTCCTTATCTCATATCATATAGACGTTGAAATTCTTAATTTTAATCCTCTGTAGAGGCGTCATAATTACACATTTCATTTAAGATTAAATAACAAGGCATTTCATCAAAAGATCAAATTTTCATATTTCATCGGTAGTTATCCATTGGTCTAGAAGTAAACACGGAGAAAACTAAGTATATGTTGCTGTCTCGTCACCAAAATGCAGGGCAAAATCATGATATAAAGATAGGAAACAGATGTTTTGAAAATGTGGCCCAGTTCAGATATTTGGGAACGAAAGTAAGAAATAAGAATTTGAATCAGGAGGAAATTAAGAGGCGACTGAACTCGGGTAATGCTTGCTACCGTTCAGTCCAGAACCTTTTGTCTTCTCGTCTGTTGTCCAAAACATAAAAATTAGAATATACAAAACTATAATTTTGCCTGTGGTTCTGTATGGGTGTGAAACTTGGTCTCTGACATTAAGGGAGGAACATAGACTGAGGGTGTCTGAGAATAGGGTGTAGAGAATATTTGGACCGAAGAGAAATGAAGTGACAGGAGGCTGGAGAAAACTGCATAATGAGGAGCTTCATAACTTGTAGTCTTCTCCAAGTATAATTAGAATGATCAAGTCAAGGAGGATGAGGTGGGCAGGGCATGTAGCACGAATGGGGGAGACGATGAATGCGTATAGGATACTGTTGGGAAAGCCAGAAGGAAAGAGACCACTGAGAAGACCAAGGCGTAGGTGGGTAGACAATATTAAAACTGATCTTAGAGAGATAGGATGGGATGGTATGAGTTAGATTGATCTGGCTCAGGATAGGGACCAGTGGAGGTCTCTTGTGAACACGGTAATGAACCTTCGGGTTCCATAAAATGCTGGGAAATTCTTGAGTAGTTTCAGAATTGGCGGCTCCTCCAGAAGGGCTCAGCTCCATGAGTAAGTAAGTTATACCATTTCAACGGGCCCCATTTCTTAAATTTAAAATATGGGCTCGTCCGGGATTTTAACTCGCGATCTCTCGCGCCTAAAGCGAGAATCATACCCCTAGACCAAAGAGCCGATGGTAGTAGCTGCTTTACATTATGAGAAAATATGCAATATCTGCATAATCCTAATTAACGCTAACGCTAATGTTCATATACGAGTAAGTTTAGAAGGAATCATAGTTTAAAGTACATAAGAACATCTTGAAGGCTCAATCTGTAAGATAATAGAGCCTAACTCTAGGTCATAACTGCACAAAATATGAAACCACTGCTATTTTTTCGTCATATATTTTTTCTCCTATAACATATTCTTGAACAAAATTGCATAAATATAGTGTATACGGTAGTTATGTTTTATGACTTACATACTAGAAAGCTTAAGTTCGTACCAATTTTCATTTCGGATTCCGGGAATTACGTAGTTGAAATTCTGGCCAGGTTCCCTATTCTCTCTAAGCTTCGTGAATGTAATCAAATTCCTTGCTAGAATTTTCCGAACCCTTGTCGACATGGCTTAACTTATTTGTTTGACAAAGCATCATTCAATCGGCAGAATACAACCAACAGGCTAGCTCTAGACTTCTCACAAGATGTCATGTTTCCTATTTTAACTATAGTGGAGACTGCTACAGACCACTCAAGTGCGTCTTTTGTTTCTCGTCCAGAACGGTTCTGGGTTCGCCCAGCCTCCCCTTCATTGGGCATTAGGGATATTCTCAGTATGCTTGACTATCCAGTTCATCAAAATACAGGATTTTTTGTTGTATCGGGGTTTATTAACTACCGTCTTTATCTATTATACAACATACCTATTTTAACGGGTCCCATTTGTTAAAATGTAAAATACGGGCTCGTCCGGGATTTGAACCCGGGACCTCTCGCACCCAAAGCGAGAATCATACCCCTAGACCAACGAGCCGATGGTAGCAACTGATATACATTACGACAAAATGTGCAGTACCTGCATAATGCTACTTAGCGCTAACGTTAGGCGTTACGTCAGCAGCAAGGTGAACAAAATATTCATGTAAAGTAAGAACGAATCCGAGTTTAAAGTACGTTAAGAAGGCTCAGTCTATAAGATATTACAGCCTAATTCTGGGTCATGGCCGCGACATAGCTGAAGCTCTTAGTCGCTGGCTTCTCACCGCGGCGGCCGGGTTTCGAGACCGGGTCTGGTCAAGTGGGATTTGTAGTGGACAAAGTGGCGCTGGGGAAGGTTTTCTCAGAGTACTTCGGTTTACCCTCCCACTCTTCAGTCCACCAAATTCTCTATCATTCTAACCAACCGGGCCAGGTACAATAGGTCAATCAGAGGGCGACGTGCCGAGTGGATTCAGCTGGACTCAACCACCCACTATGCGAATTAAAAAAAAAGACTATAATCTTCATGGATTATATAAGACTCATATTTCAACGGGTACCATTTATTAAAAATTAAAATATGGGCTCGTCCGGGATTTGAACCCGGGACCTCTCGCACCCAAAGCGAGAATCATACCCCTAGACCAACGAGCCGATGGTAGCAGGTGTTTTACACGATGGTAAACTGTGCCATATCTGCATAATCCTAATTACTGCAAGTGTTATCTGTTACGTCAACACCAAGGTGACCAAAATGTTTATGTAAGATAAGAACGAATCCGAGTTTAAGTATGTAAGAACATCCTAAAGCTCAATCTATAAGATTTACAGCCTAATTCTGGGTCATGGCTGCACAAAATATGCAGCGACTGCTGTTTTTTCTTCAGACATTTTTACTCATATAAAATATTTTTGGGCTTAAATGCATAAATATATCTGGTATTTCTGTTTTATAAGACGTTTTGAAAATGTAACACAGTTGAGATACTTGGGAACGACGATAGCGAGTCAGAACCTGATTCAAGAGAAAATAAGAGGAGATTGAACTCGGGTAATGCTTGCTACCATTCAGTGCAGAACAGTTTGTCTTCTCGTCTGCTGTCCAAATGCATGGAATTTAGAATATACAAAACTTTGATTTTGCCTGTGGTTCTGTATGGTTGTGAAACTTAGTCTTGAAGGCTTAATCTATAATGTAATACAACCTAATTCTGGGTCNCCAAATTTTCGTTTAATATTCAACAAATATTAAATTTGCAAAACAAATAAAATATTTGTGCTGCTAATAACGTTTATGAGTAAGAAAATGCATTGTAGTTCACGCATTGTTAACTGACTTTGTCACAGTAGATTTGTAATCCGATAGAAATTCCAAAAGGCGCACGTGTGAAGTCTGTAGCAGTCTCCACTACTGTTGAAATAAGAAACATGACATCTTGTGGGAAGTGTAGAGCTGGCTTGCTGGTTGTATTAAGTCGATTGAAAGTTGCTTTGTCAAACACATAGGTTAAGCCATGTCAACAAAGTCGCGACCAATGATGGCAAGGAAATAGATGATATTCATCTATCATTCATGAACCTGGCCAGAATTTGAACTGGGTACTTCCTGGAATCAACTACAATGTATTTTCTTACTCATAAACGTTATTAAGAGCACAGATATTTTATTTGTTCTGCTAGTTTAAAGTTTGTTGAACATAAATGAAAAATCGTAAACAAAACTTGGAATTACCTAACATCAGTAATTTGAAAACTTCTGAAATTACAGTTACAATTATACTACAAATCTTGGTCAGTATATCGGGGGGATACGGACTGGATGGTCGAGGAATAGGGGTTCGAATCCTGGGAGAGGCGTGAGATTTTTGTTTCTCTTCCAGACCGGTTCTGGGTCCCACTCAGTGACCTATTCAATGGGCATCAGGGGCGTTTCCTTGGATTCATTAGTATGCATTTCATCAAAATATCTGATTTTCATGTTCTATCGATAATTATTAACTACCGNTTACAGCCTAATTCTGGGTCATGGCTGCACAAAATATGCAGCGACTGCTGTTTTTTCTTCAGACATTTTTACTCATATAAAATATT